GGTGCTTATACTTCAACACTGTAATTTGTTTTGTTTGCAGTTAATTACTGTTCTTTTTTTTCGCCACCCATCTTGATGAACAACCTGAAAGATAAATGTGTGGGGACTCTTGCAAACTGCTAATGGCTTTTAAAAGGCAAATCGTTAAATCGGAACTCTCTTCTTCAAGTGCACCAGGGACTTCCAGTGTCCACAAAAAATGAACTTCATTTATAGCACTTTTGTGGCGTTTTTAACATAAATTGCACAAAGGAGATCCAGTGTTTGCCTATGGGGTGTAAATGAACTCAACTCTAATACTTTGAGACATATCAAAACATAGCTTCTGGGATGTAGGAAGTATCGTATAGGGCTGAAAATGTTCCATTGGGCTGGAAGCCTCAAGCAGTGCAATGAAAGGAGAAGTTCTTTATCTTCTGACTTGAAGCTTGGAGCAGTAATGGGAGGAACAAGCAAGCCTAGGCTCTGACTAGTTTCTCTTCTTAGCTTGTAAGCTTGGCTGCTTGGAAGGGGGCAAGATGGCAGCTGTGTTTCCTGCTGGCTCTGGACAAGAGCCATTCACTTATCCTAGTGGCTTCCCTAAATGTCAGGGTATACAGAGTGGTGGTACCAAAACTAAGCTCGATGGAGGCAGAATAGAAGCTTGCAATGAGTTGCCCTAGATACTTTACCTCCACTGAAGTAAATCTGCAGTCTTTATGTATCAGCTACTGATCTAGCTTGTGTGCTGTGAGGGTATTAGTAAGTGCACATACACTGCCATTTAACCTGCAAATTCATATGGTAACAAATCTTGGAGTAAGTACTTCTTAAAGTTTCAAGAGGTGTTTTTCCAAGTGTCTAGATAATCATCCATCTCTTAACCACATTGTCCAAAAGCAATAGTACTAGCTTGTAACTTTTAAAAATAAAAAGCTGCTTGTAAAGACTTACATGTTCTCTGAAGGTAGCTCTCCCTCGATGAGCAATGTTGACAGATGTAGATTGTCTCAGCACTTAAGTGCAGGGTGGTGTAACCTGTTATCTACACAAACCAATGTTTTGGGCTTTTTTTTGTGTTAGTTTAAACTATTTATCTGATACCAGAGCCCTAACAGCCATATTGCTATTAAATGAGGTACTTTTTTGTGGTTTGGGATGGCAGTTGTACGCTAGACAAAATGCATTATATCGTATTGCATGTTGTTGTCACTGGCACTTGTATTATTCTGTCAAGCATTTTCTTAGTCTAAAAAAAGAGTATCTTTGGAGAAGTGAAAGTGAAGTGAAGCCAGAATTAGCTGATGCTGCATTGCACTTGAAAGAATCTAAATGGAAAAGTAAAAAGAAAAGGCTGTGAAGGTTACATCTGAGCAGTAATGTGGCTGATTACTTAAGCTTGTGTATGCAAAAGTGGTAAAGCATGTGCACAGTGAGCAGCAGTGCTTGGTGTCATGGCCTGCTTACTCTGTGCTACCTCGCGTGTGTGGGTGTGAGTCCATCCCCTGTCCTCTAGTTTTATGGGAAGCGGGAGTTGTTCATGCTTCTGATGGCAGATGTGTAAGTTCCCAGGTTTTTATACATACTGTGTGCAGTCAATTCTTTTAAAAGCATGTTGACTTAAGCAATTTTCTAACTGAACTAGTTTGAGTTAGTTAACCCCTTGTACTGATAAAACTCATGTCATGAGAAACAACTTAAGGGAAGTCTGGAGGATATTTTGATGACACTTCTGAAGCAGCCCTGAAAGTGCAGTGCTGTGAAGCAAGTGAAATAAAGATCCTTCTTTTTGGCTTTGTATCTTCCTGAAAGGGTATCCATCCACCTTGGGATGCAAGAATTGCTTTATAGTGATTATTTTGCATGTGCCCAAACCCAAGATTTTAGTGTGGGGCTGGGAGTGGTTGTTGAAAGAGTTTGTGTGGGGAAAACCTGCTGGTTCAATCTGAGAATCTCTTGTGTTTGATGGTGAGGTTGTATTTGTTTGAGACAATATGCAGGGGAGAGGAATGAATGGCCAAAAGACAGTGTAAATGAATAGCTTTATGCACTTAAAATGGCTAGGATAAGAGCAAGCTCATGGGGTGCACAGTGGTTCTGCTCATGTTAGATCAGCCTTTGGAAGGATGTTTTACTCCTTGCCTCTTTCTGTCCTGCCAAGGGGTCTTGCACCAAGCCCCTGTGTGTGAGTGAGTCAAATTTCTCCACGTAGCGGAGGTTGGCTGGTCTTTATCTCTAAGAAATCTGATCTTTCTAGTGCTCAGCTGGCACCTTTGGACTAGGATGGGACATGAAATCATAGGTTCCCAACCACTTCTGTGCCACTAGTGAGACATGCTGGGGTTAGAGTTGAGGTGGGATGCAGAGGAGAGCCAAAGTGGATATGATTGCTCAGGCACCATGCTGGCACCACTGATGCTAAAAAGGCTGGAAGGGATGGCAAAAAAGACAGGCCAGAGCAGCACCTGAGATCTGTCAGGAGCAGGCAAGGAGGCATCAGCCTGTAGTGGGAGCAGAGCAAGAAGTTAGTGACTGGGAACTGTAGGGTGAGTTTGGCTGGAGTAAGATAAAGCTTGTACCAGTTTAGGAGGGAAGGAGGAGGGTGGTAACAGGCTGCGTGGGAGGTTGGGAATTGCAGCTGTGAGACCTCTTGACAATGTGCTGCTTGTGAGCAGGCTGAGCTTTTGGCTGGCTTTCCTTGTTGCAGCTCGGAGTGCAATCTTTCTTCTTCCTCTCTAGCTCACGGGAATCAGTCAGGAAGACAGAAGGTTCATAAAACTGCTCATGTGCTGCAGGCTGCGGCAGCAGTCATTTGAGTGGCCACTGCAGTTAGTACTAAAACAACTGCTTAAATTTTACACTATATATGAAAGCGGAAAAGGCAGTCTTGGGCAAATAACAGTCTATTTCTTTGATCCTCTGTTCACCTGTTCATAAGGTCCTAGAAGAGTATTTTCTGGCTTTTTTTGGTTCCTAGTGTGTAAAGTGGGATGGATGTCACAGTAGCTGGGTCCACAGGTTAAACAGCTGTAGAGTGGGCTTGAGAATTGTGGTGTGTTTGTGGGAAGGCCACAGCCACTGAAGTGCCTGTGCTCAAAGCAGTCACCCAGAAAGGCGAAACAGGGAACACGTGGCTTCTCAGCTCTGCTTTGGGAGATGTCTGTAAGCGGCAGGTTGCCCCTACGAGATGGGATAGCTCTTCTGTCAAGACTGTGTGTGTTTGGTTGTCGCAATAACAAGACTTCTATGGTCAGACATAATGATCACAAAAAGCCAGAGTTGTCATCTTGCCACTATTTCTGTCTTTTGGGTTGGTGCATTTCCCTGTAAGCCACAAACCATGTTGTTTACAAGTGCCAGCTGGTCTTCTGCCCACAGTTACAGAGCGTGGGGCTTGCCTCAGCAAAAAAGATTTCCTTGAAAATTTGGTCAACTTGAAACCTTTGTCTGTGCTACAGGTAGGAGGTTGTGGTGTTAGTAAATGGATGGGGCTTGGGGCAGCAAGATCTTTGGGAAGAGAGAAGTTGTTGTGGTTTAACCCCAGCCGGCACCCCCCCCAGCCGCTCGCTCACTAGCCCCGCAGTGGGATGGGGGAGAGAATCGGAAGGGTAAAAGTGAGAAAACTTGCGGGTTAAGATAAAGACAGTTTCATAGGGAAAGCAAAAGCTGCGCACACAAGCAAAGCAGAACAAGGAATTCATTCACTGCTTCCCATGGGCAGGCAGGTGTTCAGCCATCTCCAGGACAGCAGGGCTCCATCACACGTAACGGTGACTTGGGAAGACAGACGCCATCACTCCAAACATCCCCCCCCTTCCTTCTTCTTCCCCAGCTTTATATGCTGAGCATGACGTCATATGGTGTGGGATATCCCTTTGGTCAGTTGGGGTCAGCTGTCCCGGCTGCGTCCCCTCCCAACTTCTTGTGCACCCCCAGCCTCCTTGCTGGTGGGGTGGGACGAGGAGCAGAACAGGCCTTGACTGTGTGCAAGCGCTGCTCAGCAGTAACGAAAACATCCCTGTGTTATCAACACTGTTTCCAGCACAAATCCCAAACACAGCCCCATACGAGCTACTGTGAAGAAAATTAACTCTACCCCAGCCAAAACCAGCACAGCTATAAACCCCAAAGCAGTGAAAGCCATACACATACTAATGCCACACACATTCCCCTGGAGGCGCAAGCTGCAATGGGCAACCACAAAGACACTAACCTCTTGCCACCCTGTGATTCCCTTTCCTTGCCCCATACAGAGGCGACTCCCTAACAGGGTGCCAGCTGAAACTGGTTCTAGTCCCCTGTGGCAGCAGCAGAGATGAAGCATTTCTTTCGACACAGACTTCTAAGCCAAATGAGGAAAAACCCCAAACACAGATTCTTTCCCCCAGGCACATTCGTGACCACACTGGCAGGCACCTGACAAGAACAAACAGCAGGAACAGCAGCAGCTCTCTGGTAGATAACAGAAAGCTTCCTATTTAATCCTTGTGTTTTGTTACTGCTTTTCTCCCCATTTGCATATGCATGCTAGAAACGCTTGGCATATCTCAAACAGGAGGCCGCAAGCTCCTCAGAGTCCAAAAAAGAATAACGTCAAGCCTCTTGTTACAAAAAGTTTTGCAGTAATACCACCTGGCTCAGGCACTAGCAAGAAATGAAGTTTCCCAGTTTAAAAGAAAAAAGCCCAGACAATAATTATTCCTCCCCCTAAAACATGCTGTGTCCCTTTGGACCAGGCCATCGGGTTTAACATTGCAATGAACTCCTCCCCTTGCCCCTGCTCCAGCTTGGACTTATCCACAGACTGCAGTCCCTTAGGGGAGTACCTGCTGCAGTATAGACTTCCCCACAGCCACAGTTGCTTTGAGGTGCACTGTTCCAGCATGGCCTTCTCCATGGGCCGCAATGCCTTCAGAGATATACCTGCTCCCGTGTGACCTTACCCACAGGCACAGTCCCTTCAGGAGTGACCCTGCTCCAACGTGGCCTTACCTGTGGCTGCAGTCCCTGCAGGGGCGTACCTGCTCTGTCGTGGGCTTATCCATGGCCACACGCTTTGAGGTGCTCCAGCGTGACGTCATGCACAGCCACTCATGCTTCAAGGTGTACCTGCTGCAGCATGGACTTATCCACAGCCACAGATGCTTCGAGGTGTGTCTTCTCCAGCGTGGACTTATCCTTGGTCCACAATCCTTTCAGAGGTACACCTGCTGTGGCACAGACATAACCACAGCCACAGATGCTTTGGGGTGTCCTGCTCCCACGTGGACTCAGCCACAGGTCACAGTCCCTTTGACTCAAGTTCGCACTGGAGTTCCAGCCTGTCCAGTACAGCAGCGATGCCCTGGCCATCTGCCAGCCCAGGTGCATAGCCATTGCTGTTATCAAAATGTTCCCAAGCAGTAGAGGGAAGTTCTCCTTGAGACAACCGAAAACCTTTCTGATGCAGATTTTGGTTCATTCACCTTGCTGAAACTTCTTCCTGTTCTTTTCTTCCTAAAACTCTGCTTGGGCCCCTGTCCTAATCAGAAGCTCCCAGAAATGGTTTTTGGGATGAAGGCCTCCACACGCATCCATCACTTTAGATATCTTTCAAATGAGCAAAGGCCTGAGGCTGGGATGCAGAACTCCTCATAGCAAGAGAAGGCTTATCTATAGTTAACAGCTCTCCTTGTAGCTATTGTGGGGTCTCTGAACCCAAAGCCATGCCGAGATGGATGTATTTCCTGCCCCTTCCCCCTTCATCCTCTCCTTATGTCAAACCTTCAAAATTAAATGACAGTGTCAGCAAAGAGATTGCTGCTGCTTAATGAGTTTCAATTGGGTTGCAGATTGAAGCCTGACTCCTTGCAATGACAGATTAATAGCTCCTTCTGCTGAAGCTTTACAGCATGTTTTAGGGGGAGGAATAATTATTGTCTGGGCTTTTTTCTTTTAAACTGGGAAACTTCATTTCTTGCTAGTGCCTGAGCCAGGTGGTATTACTGCAAAACTTTTTGTAACAAGAGGCTTGACGTTATTCTTTTTTGGACTCTGGGAGCTTGCGGCCTCCTGTTTGAGATATGCCAAGCGTTTCTAGCATGCATATGCAAATGGGGAGAAAAGCAGTAACAAAACACAAGGATTAAATAGGAAGCTTTCTGTTATCTACCAGAGAGCTGCTGCTGTTCCTGCTGTTTGTTCTTGTCAGGTGCCTGCCAGTGTGGTCACGAATGTGCCTGGGGGAAAGAATCTGTGTTTGGGGTTTTTCCTCATTTGGCTTAGAAGTCTGTGTCGAAAGAAATGCTTCATCTCTGCTGCTGCCACAGGGGACTAGAACCAGTTTCAGCTGGCACCCTGTTAGGGAGTCACCTTGCGCCTCTGTATGGGGCAAGGAAAGGGAATCACAGGGTGGCAAGAGGTTAGTGTCTTTGTGGTTGCCCATTGCAGCTTGCGCCTCCAGGGGAATGTGTGTGGCATTAGTATGTGTATGGCTTTCACTGCTTTGGGGTTTATAGCTGTGCTGGTTTTGGCTGGGGTAGAGTTAATTTTCTTCACAGTAGCTCGTATGGGGCTGTGTTTGGGATTTGTGCTGAAAACAGTGTTGATAACACAGGGATGTTTTCGTTACTGCTGAGCAGTGCTTGCACACAGTCAAGGCCTTTTCTGCTCCTCGTCCCACCCCACCAGCAAGGAGGCTGGGGGTGCACAAGAAGTTGGGAGGGGACGCAGCCGGGACAGCTGACCCCAGCTGACCAAAGGGATATCCCACACCATATGACGTCATGCTCAGCATATAAAGCTGGGGGAAGAAGAAGGAAGGGGGGGGGTGTTTGGAGTGATGGCGTCTGTCTTCCCAAGTCACCGTTACGCGTGATGGAGCCCTGCTTTCCTGGAGATGGCTGAACACCTGCCTGCCCATGGGAAGCAGTGAATGAATTCCTTGTTCTGCTTTGCTTGTGTGCACGGCTTTTGCTTTCCCTATGAAACTGTCTTTATCCTAACCCACCAGTTTTCTCACTTTTACCCTTCCGATTCTCTCCCCCATCCCACTGGGGGGGAGTGAGCGAGTGGCTGAGTGGAGCTTAGCATGCTGGGGTTAAACCACAACAATATCTAAGGAGGAATACTTACGCTTCTAAAAGTACAAAGAATCTTTTTAAATATTATGTATAATATAATTAACAGCAAATGCTTTGTTAAATCTGTGTTGCATGAAACAGTGGTTATGTGGTAAATGAACTTGAAAACACGTGAACAAGGAGAGTTGAGATTAGTTGTAGACTCTAGTATTCTTTATAATCTCTGACAAATATCGGTGCCTTTTATAACTATGGTATCTTATTTCCAATTTGAGAGTGTCTCTTTAAATTGTCTTCTGTGGCTTGTTTGAGCTCTTCCACTGAGTCACTGCTAAAGCTGGGAATTGGTTCAGGGGCCTTGACTCACAGTCCTGTGCTTGGACCAGCAGCCACATGTTCTTACCACAGGACAGCAGCTTCTTCCAGGGCTGAGCTTTCAGTTTAGGCTGTTCAATGTATGATGTGGCGTTGTGGTTTGTTGTGGGTTTTTGGTTTTGTTTTTTTTTAAGTCTTTTTTTTTCTGGATTTTTAGATTCCAGGGGAGAATACAGGGAGCAATTTTTCTTACTGCTTCTCACTTTGCCACATTTTTATGATCATGTTTCTGTGGTTGCCATCTTATCTGGAACAAACTAATTTTTCTGGAGTTATAACTCTTCTATGCAAATGTGAAGCTGTATGTGAAACTTAAAAATTCTTCAGAAATTAGCTACTGAAATTCCAAAGCAGTATTCTGTTTAAAACTCTTGATAGTTGTATTTTTAAATTACTTTTTTCTACCTTAAACCTGTTCTTTAACCCCATCATCAGTAAGAACGCACATTACAGAATAAAGCCTATCTGCCTGCTTCTGTAGTTCATAATTTTTTTTTTTACCATTTCACTATACATCTGAGTACGTAGATCACATTAACATGACACAACCTGAAAAAGAATTAGTTCCTCTAGGAAAAAACAAAGCAACAGTTACTCAGAAGGCATTTTTGACCATCACAGACAGTCTTGTGGGTTTTTTGAAACCCAAGGCTTGCGGGAAGGCAAGGGTGTGCATGGTGCACGTGTCTGGCAGTGCAGAGCCAGCAAGTTAATTTGACATTTGGTTCTCCAGTGTCCCAATAACTTTTTTTTCGGTAATCTGTTTATTTAAATTCAAAACCATGCTTAGTTTGGCTTATTTAAAAAGTGAATAAAATGCTTATTACAAAGATGCCCTTGATAGCATACTGCTACGTGGGCCTACAAAGAAGAATTACCGGCTTGTTTACTGTCTTTTAACTTCCTTATCTAAAATAGCCCTAAGGCAATGAGAAAGCATGACCTTGAATCTGTTATTCAGCATTTTGGGTTCTAGATATCCCCAAAATTTCCTTCAGACTTCAAGAATTGGCATCACCTGCCTCCATTCCCTGTCAAAAAAATGCCTTTTTTTTTTTTTTTTACTGAAATGTGATGAGTACTTGTCTTGTGTTTATGCTGCTGAACATAAACTGCCGAAGACGAGGACTAATTTCAAAACAGGCTTCCCATTTTTCAAGTCTCACATCTTTTGGAGCAATGTGACAAGCTGATGAATGCCACGCTGGCAGCGTTGCACCATTAAGAAAGTAGCTAATAGATTAGCGATGCTGAGTGCGAGACCCTAATGAAGGTCTGGAGCTCTGCAGTCACCTGCTTAACCCTTCTTCAAGGGATCATATAGCAGTGTTCCCCTGCACTCCTGTAAGCGATAGCACAGTGAATGGCAAGCAAATGGTATAGAGAGTGAGTTGCTAGCACTTCTGGAGGTGGTATGTAATGTTTGATCTGATTTTTTTTTTTTTATGTGCAACATTACCAGCTCACTTCTGGGTCAGAAACAATGCTTCAGTTACTTTGTAAGAAGTGTTGGAACTTCCTCATAAATCACTGTCAGATTTGAAGGTGTGGACTGTGAGGTTCAAAGGTTGACCCTGTATTAGGAAAAATACTTTCTCTGTTGGTGTTTCAGGCTATTTAAAGTAAAACTTTACAACTGTGAATCTTGATGCACACAAACATCCTATAGTAAAACAAGCTGTATGATTAGTCTTTTGCCTTGAAAATACTTACAGGGCTTTCTTTCATCCTTCTTGCCAAGTTCTTCTTCATCTTTGTTTCTTTGTCTTCAAGCTGGTAAAAAGTTTAGTTTGGGAGTATGGAGAGAAAAAAAATCTAGACTTTCAAATGTAAGAAATCCTTTTTACGTATTCCTTGTGTGTGTGTCTGGTTTTTTGGTTTGTTTCCCCCCCCCTTCAAAAGCAGACAGGTATCTTACTCGCCACCACCTTGCCCCACGAGGAAGCTGGTGTCCAAGTACTCAAAATACGCTATTCTGCCCCTGTGTGGGCTGCGCTAAGGAGAGACAGGCCGTGTGCCGAAGTGAGACTGGGTCTCACCGCTGACAGTGCTGCCCAGCTTGACAAACCAGTCAATGGCTTGCTGTAGTCTTGCCATCAAAATTTACTACTTTTACATTTAAAAAAAGGAAAGACTACTAGCAAGTGCTTTCTCTGCTATATCACAGAATCTGCTTTTCTGTATTTATGTGGCATTAACAGTAGCTGAACATCTCCTAGTCACCCCCTCTGCCTGCTTCCATAGGGTGGGTTGTGGCCCAGGGCAGAGGGCAGGTCAGGGCGGATTGAGGAAGTAAAAGCATCCCCTTCCTGGTCTGCTGGATCACTTTGGCTTTTATGATCAGGCTCTTATATTGCCATTTCTTCTCCTCTGACTTAGTTTTAGAGTCAGCAGTGCAGTCTGTCATTTTAAACAAACAAAAAAACCCCACCAACCCAACTCCAAAGCAACAGAAATCCCCAAGACTGACCCAGGAAGCAACAAAGTTGCTTTTAAAGAAACCTTTGCAGCATAAAGTAT